TATTATATATACATATAATATTTAATATTATATGTAGTATATTATAATAATATATATATTATATATATTGGAGATAATTGAATACAAGAAGAGATAAAGGAAACATTTGCTTTTAACTTTTCTTGTATTCAATTAAACAGTTTATATTGTGTTCTAATAGGCAAAAAACTTGAGGAAAACAAAGAAACAAGCAGAAAAATATGTTTTGAGATCGTAACAGATAACTTGTTTAATTTTTGATGATGAATAAGAAGAATTTTTATAAAATGTTTACTAGACTACACGTGCAAAGCATATTTGTTAATTAAATAAGAGTTGCATACAATTGAAACAATTCATCGACAATAATAAACAATTAAATAATATTAATTAAATAAAATAACCCATTATACATACTTCGTTTTTTCTTTATATCATTGCTGCTCCACTGAATCCTCGAGTCTTTTTTCTCTCCATCAACTTGCAAAACAGAAACTGAATTTAACAGATTTATCAGTGTAAATCAATTATTGTAGTGAATTTACTTACTGCTATTAAATCTGGTTTCGTTATCCTGTCCACTATCATCAGAATAAAGTTTTATAGGTTTTAAATCAAGAGGATTTAGTAACTTAACAAAAGAATTATTTCCGAGTTGTTGTTTATCGTTAATACTTTCATCGAATACATTAGAATTTCCAGCGTAACAAACTGTAATGACAAATAGAAGCAAAAACACAGACTTAGTCATTTTTCAATTAATCTGTTTAGTTTCGTAGAAAAATAAATAGTATTTAACAGTGCAGGAAACCCACTCCTTTACATATAAAATTACTAGAAATATATCCTTTTCATAACGTTTAATAAACAAGTTATGTTCTTTATTCGAAATAATAAAAGTTAATGGAAATTCGAGCTTTATTTCACTTTGATATTACTGTATTGTATTTCTGTTAAAATTAATATTCCTTCTGAAAAATAGTTACTCCTATTACACAATTTCTTGCTGTAGACAACTTTGTATTTCTGTTATAAAAATATTCTTTTTTTAATATACTAACTCAAATTCTTTATTACATTTAATCAAGATTTTATAAAGAAAAATTCGCTACGTGACTTGCTGATGTCTCCTCAGAAATTGAAATGGTCTCAAATTTCATATATAATGGATATATTACGAGAGGGTGTATTAATATTTAATATTAAAAATTTTAAAATTAAACTTCAGATCTTTATTTAGAAATGCATTTTTTTTGGTAAATAAAAACATATTAGATGTATTGAAAAATAAATTTAAGTGGTCAAAGATGTGATGATGTTTTCTGTAATTACTCAAGATATATTTCTTCATAATGCAAATAAAGTAGGAAAACTCGTAACTACAACCAGAGGGCCTGAAGCAGTTTAAAAAAAATGAATAAGGACAGTATGGTGAGAAGAATTCTTTGTGTTTTTAATGTAAAAGTGTCAGAACCTGCAACAGAAGGCTGACACTTGATCGTTTTAAAAACTGTGACCTCTTTTTTTTACTTATTGTGTTTTAAGAAGTTATTCTTCAAAAAAACCACGTTGATTGTTACTTCTGGTGTTGTATAAAAAAGGATTAAGATAGACTCAAAAATTTGATATTTTTGTAAGTATAGACTACTTACAAAAATATCAAATTAAACTTCAATTATAAAAAATATTACTATTAATAAGATTTTGAAATCTCTTGATACTAAAATAATTTCCAAAATTTCCATTATTCTAACTAAAGTTACTCTCTTTATTTTTAAATTAAGAATATTTTCAAAAATATTTTCAAAGTTCTCTGGAAAATTCTTAAATCTAACACAAAAAATTGACTTAAAATTTGCTTAAATAATTTATGATACTCTTTAAAATAGTTAAAAATTAATGTTGAAAGTATTATTTTAAATAAACTTGTTTTATACTTGTGACATTAACGTTTCGATGTTTCAAAAAATGTTAAAACGTAGTGTCAAAATTATTGTTTTTTTTATGTAAATTAAGATTTTCGGTTAGAAGAAAAGGGAAAGAAATGTCATAGAACTGCCATTAAGCATTATGGATCATCAAGATTCATAAAGCTTGATGGCAGAACGATAGAGGTGATTACCGGGTCAGCTTACTTTTCAGCGATATATAAAACGAATCCTAGTGAGCAAATCTCCGGAAATTTTTTTATAGGAATCAATTTCTGATATGTCGGACCCCATCCCTCATTACTGTATTGTAAGCTTGATTGACCAACGGTAAGTAAGAAGAAAGAGCTTCTTAGTGTCCACGGGGCGTAAAGAGCCGAAAATTTAATAGAATTCCTGTAGCTAAATAAAAAAAGAGGAAGATATGTACAAAACAATGCTCTTTAAATCAAAATTCTGTCGTTTTGAAAGTGAATAAGACAAAAACGAAAAAAAAAATGGTACGAGTTGAAAAGATAAACTTTACTAAAATGCACTTTTTATCAGTTGAAAAAAAATCTAGCAACGAGTTGCTAAACTTTCCCGAAAACATTTAAAACTTCATATGTGACGAAATCTGTTATGATGTTTTATTATTAAAAACGTTTTATATTTTTATTTGTTATAAAACGGTATTATATTTTTATTTGTTATAACAAAAAATTGTAAATTGTAAATTCTAATAATGAAGAAAGTCGTCATTAATTTCAGTCTATCCTACTCGAGATATGACACTCGACCCACTTTATCTCTCCACTGCGTCGACCTCTGACCACCAAAATTTAACAACATCAATCCTCTTAATACAAAACCTTCTTGCAAAATTTCAGAAATATTTGACAAAAAGCACAGAAGTTATTAAGCTTCAAAAAGGATGAAAAAATTTGACACACACACACTAACATCAATACATACAGTAAAAACTGCCGAACTTTTTTGTATTTCTCGACGTTTCAAGATCCTCTCAGTCCAAATATATAAAAATTTTCGGAAAGTCATTTTTTCACCAATCGCCATAATTTTCCTCTTAAATATAATAGAGCAGAAAACTATACAAATCAAGTTGATATTTTGTAATGTTTTTTCATATTTTAACAGGGCATATTTTTAAAATTATACATAATCATTACGAAGCTAGATGAATTTCAGTTGAATATATAGACTATGTACTGTATTCGTATTTAATTGATTGGTTATCGTACATCATAGGCAATAACGTAACTACAGTTATCGCTATTTTGGATCTGATGAAATAGATTATTGTGATGAAAAACGTTGCACAGAATCATATTATCTTTGATAAGTTAAACTGAGATCGCCACTTAGGTTTAACTGAAAACAACAATTCGCCACAACGTTTAGCTATCATCTTACGGCGCTTAACACGATAGATAAGTTTTCATATTTATGAAAATTCCGAGAAATTTAATAACTTTTTATACACTTCAATATTATTTCAAGTTTATGAAACTATGGAACTTTGAATAAATCAAACATTAAAGCAGTATCCATAATTTCACCGATACATTATTTGAATAATATTATCATGCAGATGCACGAATATTTTTTATTTGATACGCAATTATTGTTGTGAAAACGTAATTTTAAAATAATCATATTTAAATATATCAATATGAGTAATACTCTACCATATATAAATGAGTTTATATTAGATTACGAGCGACAATTCAGTAACTTTCATTCAACTATGATGATTGTACGCGCTACTCTACTAGTTATCATCGTGCAGGTGATGATTTATTATGGAACAGGCGCTGAATCTCGCAAACTTCAACAATCGAAAACGCAATTTTCTGCTATGAATAAACTTAATGAACCAAAATATCTTCCACAATTTTCAGAAAATGTTCAAGACGTTTCTGGTAAGTAAATGTGAATAAATGATTGTTCATTACTCAATTTAATTGTCTTAATTATTATAACGTTTATTTTTAGATTCATCAAATGCTACTGAAGAAGAATTAAACTCAGTCTCATTAAATTTCAACGACGATAAGAATGGTAAATCTAAGAATTATTTAAGTATTACAGTAGAGCATCGATTATCCGACTCAATTGGGGACTGGGGTTAGTCGGATAATTTAAAAAAACGGATAACCGAAAAGTATGAAAAAATACATTATTAGTATAGTATATTATTATATCTCATGTAATTAGTATATTAGTATATCGATATTAACCTACTTCGCGTTGAATTTTCATCGATGTTAAGCCTAACAAAAATTTTAAAAATAACAATCATCGCTATTGTGTCATTAAAAATTATTTTTAAATTATTTTACTGCCTACAAAACAAACAACCACTCATAATTAGAAAATTAAGCCTCGTTTAAATACTGGCAACCCTTTCATGGTCGAGCCAGTGTTGCCAGCTAAAACGCCAAAAATTTAACGAAAATAATATTAAAGTAGCCAAGGCATAGCCAAATATTATAGCGTCGCATCACCAGCGGACATTTGAATTTGCCTACTAGAACGCGGTTGGTTAACCGATGTGACGGTTGATCGGGGGTCGGATAATAGTTGCTCTACTGTAATAGCAAATTCTTATATTAATAATATTTATAACTTATTCAAACCGATTTATCTGCGTATTCTACGAGACATTTAATTGTTCTTTATCGAATTTTGTCCACAGAGAGATAATCATATCTTATTGAATTCTTTCATTATTTATGGCCAGTTTCTCCCTACGGGTACTAAAAAAGAATTTTTCTATAATCATTATGGATTCGCCAGGCTCATTATGAGAACGATCGATGTGGAGGGACAGGTTCCGACATATTCGAGACAGACCGTGGAGAATAAATAATTTAGGCCGAACACATTGTATACTAAAATCAAATTATGAAAGCTGTTCTATTATAGGATTGCAAGGATATTTTTAAGCAGGAATGTGCATTTATAACATCGTAAATTCGAAGACGCAAAACGTGTCCATTAAGTTGATTTTATTTTAAAAACAAAAGCAGAAAATAGTTGTCAAATTTATGCCCGTTAATTTCATCAGAAAGCAAACATAATGAATTTCTTTTATATTTTGATAATTTGGATTTTTTTTGAGAAAGAATTTTTACATAATCATAAGCTATGAAGCTATGATACCATGAATTATTCTAAAACTTCGATAAGTTAGAAAATTTTCGTTTTAGTACAATTTTTCCGCTAATGCACTATAACATAACTTATGCCAATGAGTAGTAGTTTAAGCGAAATAATTATTTAATCTTTTCCGTGTCTGTTATATACCGAGTTATATAAAGGAACCACAATGAGTTGTCGTGTACGAGTGCAGTAGCAAAGTATAATTTCAAAAAATCCATTGATAATCAAAAGGGAACTTAGAACTTAATTAAAAAAACAAAACGAATTTCCAAATCTCAACGTTTCGCAAAAGTGAATCTTCAAATTCTTAGAAAATGCTTGAAGATAAACTTGAAGATGAATAATATCATTGGAATGTGAAGATTCACGCTTGCTTAATGTTGAAATTTATAACTTCAATATGACTTGATGTTGAATTTTAAAGATATATAGTTACTAACAGCAGGAAAAATAATGTAGTAATTCCTAGAAAATAACGGCATTTGAACCAGTTGCATATTGAGATTAAAGAAACGGAATAGAAGCAAACGATAAATCCGAAAAAATAATAATTCGGAGATTATTTATTGATGCCAGAAATGACTAATTTTAATAATATTTTTGAAATCCCAAACAACAGAAATTCTGAAATTTTAATAATTTTCTTTCTTAATTCTGTGTATTTCATATTATTCAGTATTCTAAAAGAAATAAATCTAAAACAAGAAATTGACTTAAAAATTTATTAAATTAATGCTGGCAAC